TTGATTGTCCGTGTCGCGGAAGCTGCAGCTGGTCATGAGAGTACGAATGAAGAAAATTTCCGTGGAGGTAGCCGTGGCAATAAACCAGTGTTCATTTAGTAAATCAACAAGTAAGGCCCAAATATTTAATACCGTAGAATTTTCGATTGATTTCATTCGAGGACTTTAAAAAACCAGTCATTTAAGTAATTTTATTTTTGATACCCACATGTTTACGTTCTATGTAAATAATTCACAGGCAAGTGAAAATAATCCTACAGCAGCTATTCATAAATACAGAAAAATTAATGTACATGTGCTAAAATATCAAATATATTAATAATGGACCACATTTTTGTATCCACATCTATTGCCATCTCCATGGACAAATGTGAAAACGACTTGATGCCCGTCTTCGATTTCAGATCTCAAGTATTTATCGCCAGTTGATTTAAATTCTACTATGGGGTTTCTTTTTGTCAGCAAAAAACTCAAAGTTCCTGGGACAACATCGACAAAATCACCGTTTTCGTTCATGATCCGCTCTGGAAAGAACTTCATATATGAGTTTATTCCTCTGATATCTTTTGGAAGTAATCCTTCCAAGACTTCCATTGAAAACATCTTCATCGACTTGAATTTCAATAAGTACTTCGGGATCCTCTCTGCGCCCTGAGTACAACTTTCGCTTGATCTCCCTGTACACACGTTCACAAAAAGCTTGCAGGCTATCGCTAAGTGGTCTCTTTCGCAGCCGTTTTTTGGGATGTCACGCAACGGCTGCGAAGGAGACTAATCGCTAAGGGAATCATCGCTTGTTTGAGACATCGGTTCTAATCGTATCACTGACGAGTGATTTTCATCCCATGACCTCCATTTGTCAAATTTCCCACTGTACCCTTTGAAATGAATTTTGGTCACATTTTTCCCTTTGTCAACATGTGTTATCTCCACTGGATAAATATTCCCATCCGTAATTTTATTTTCTTGTAATTCTTGGGCTTAGCTCCTACGAATTCTTCAATAGCTGGTTTTCACATGACGTCACTAAAATTCAAACTACAAAATTATTGATCTTCCTGAGATTTTACTT